GCCCACTAACAAACAAGTGAGTGTAGCTTTCATCAGGAAGGTCAGATTTTAGCTACATTTTTAATGTTTCTCGCCAGACCAGTACTCGGCTTCACCGAAGATTGTATGACGGCCTGCTCACACTGCCGCCTACTGGTGATGTGCACAACTGAGCGGTGGGATCGTCGGTGGCGTGGAGTAGGTGATGCCACGCTCCCGCGGTCGCTGCTCAGGCCGAGTTGCGCTGAGGTGCAAGGGCCTTCAATGCTGCTTGCAGTTTAATTTCTTATAGTTCATTAATTCATTTACCAAAGAACAGCTGAAGGTTACAAATAACTACAAGAAAATGTAAACCCATGTGTCACTGTGTCAGTGACATCAAATGGATGTGTTTAACACTTAAGGGAAGTTGTGGATTTGTCTTTCATGGACTGATTGAAAATGTCACATACACTGTACTGTTCATTCCCTCTAAAAAGCTTAGAGTGCCAGATGAGCTTTTAGTCTCGGTGGAAGCCTACTTTTCTGCCAATTGCACACTAAAGTACCAGATAATGAGTTCCAGGCTGATTCTGAACAGTAAAACATCTCAACGTCACTTGTAACATCTGTAAAATCAATGCATATTGCTTAATGTCACATTTTAGATGCGTGGGCTCATCAAACCACCACATTGCCAGGTTTTTATTCACGACATCTTGCATACATCCTGTTATGGATTCTTTCACTCCCTAACCTCTATTAATCACAATCTAATTTATCACATCAGAATTTTCCCACATTGTTTTACAGAAAGCCAACGCTTTTACTGGATATTTTATTTTTTCCCCACTGTTACCTAAATCAATTTCACATGTTGGCTGAGAGGAAATTGTTTTTGTTAGATGTTTTTTTTTTTTTACATAGACCTTAAGCATGAGGCGTAAAATAATAAAGATATTCATGCCCATTGAACCATTTTAAACTTTTCACATTACAAATCAAACACTTTTATGTTTTTTATTTGTATATTATGTGACACTCCAACAAAAACTAGCACATAATTGTAAAGAGTACATGTTTATCAAAATGTCTTTAAAAAATCAATACCCAGTGCACTCCAGTGCAAGCAGTTACCTTCTGATGTCACATAATCAGTTAATAGCTGTGTGTAATTTATTTAGGGTGTAAATTCTGGTATTCTTTGAAGGCTCTAGATATTTTTTGATAAACATTAGAGAACAAACGACTCCTCTCGATGTAGAGGAGCAGCAGCTCGATTCCAAGCTCACCCTATCTATAAGGGAGTGCCCGGCCACCCTGCGGAGGAGCTCATTTCCGACTCTTGTATCCGGGATCTTGTTCTTTCGGCCATGCCCATAGGTGGGGGTAGGAATGTAGACCGAACGGTAAATTGAGAGCCCTCCTTTCTATCTAAGCTCTCTCTTCACAACAACGGACCGGTACAGCTTCCTTTTTACTGCAGCTGCTGCACCGATCAATCTGTTGACTTCCCGCTCTACTCTCTCCTCACTCGTGAACAAGACCCTGAGATACTTGAACTTCTCCACTTGAGGTAGGAGCTCACCTCCAACCTGAAGAGGGCATTGGGAGGAGTCAGTTGAGGTGGCTCGGGCATCTGTATTGGATGTGCCCTGGGTCATGACCGAAAGAACGAGATCTCGGACACAAGCGGCTGAAATGAGCTTCCTCCGTAGGGTGGCCGGGCACTCCCTTAGAGATAGGGTGAGGAGCTCGGCCATCCGGGAGGGGCTCGGAGTAGAGCCGCTGCTCCTCCACATCGAGAGGAGCCAGTTGAAGTGGCTCGGGTCTCTATACCGGATGCTTCCTGGACGCCTTCCTCAGGAGGTGTTCCAGGTTTGTCCCACCGGGAGAGGGCCCAGGAGACGGCCCAGGACACGCTGGAGGGACCATGTCTCTCGGCTGGCCTGGGAACGCCTCGGGCTCCCCCTGGAGGAGCTGGAGGAGGTGTCTGGGGAGAGGGAAGTCTGGGCGTCTGCTACCCCGGTGACCCGGTTCCAGATAAAGTGGGAGACGACGACAATGAGAGAACAAGCGACATCATGGAGACCAGAGAAAACACTGCAGTACACAGATAATAGGATAGAGACTTGGTTATTGAATGCAAGTATACAAGATGTCCAACTACACTGGCAAGCAACTCTCTAGTTGGTGCACAAATTAAAAATATGTTAAGAAAGAAAACGTCATAAACAGGTCTATCCACAGTTGTGCAGAACTGTGGGTAGACAACAATTAACCTATTATTAAGAATCAACAAAAGTAGATTTTCTTCTAGGACTGCTTTAAAAAGTAGTAAAAGTATGTCTATAGAGTAAATATTTTTAAGGTTGGAAGCAATTCATTTATGTGTATTAGTTTGTTTGTTAACTAGCTGTGCTCTAATCCCAGACGCTGAGCAACAGGCCATTCATCCAGAAACTGTTTCGCCCTGTTTCGCCTGAAGGCAGTGCACACACGCTTGGCGACCTGCTGAAGGAGATGTATCCAGATGCTTTGACAAATGATGGTAAGCCTACACGCAAGCATGTCGACCGTTGCCAGTTAACACTAAGTATCATCAAAACTTTGTCTGATTTTCTTATCAAATGTGAGACACGTTCTTCTTGAGACAGAAAGGGACTCCTCTCAAGGTTATTTTCTGTGTTCAACTTAAGAAGGAATTTTTGAGATCCAGATTTTCTAATAATATAACTCCTGGAGGTGATAGATGAGGTAAAATAGTGGTTGTTACCAAAAGCAATGACTAAAGATGTGGTGAAAGGAGAGAATGGGCGGAGGGAAATTGAAACATATTGAAAGTGTCTGGAGGCAATGGGAGGAAAGTCTAGATATAATAATTGGTAATTTTCTAGCTGCTAGAGAAAAAGACCACCATCTATGAGTCATGTTCTTTTACATCAAGGCCAAAATACATTTATATTCTGCAGAGTTCACAATAGGATTATTACAATTTTAGGGATCTGCACTGAGCTTTGCCACTGCTGATGTTAAGACACTTTAGGCAACTTGTACTGAAAGTGTAGGTCACATAAACTCTTTAAAAACCTAACTGCCAAGCTGAATTGGCACAAAAGCTCCACAAGGGTGCTATGGCATAAACAACTGCCTCAACATGGGGCTGTCAGAAGTTGCAGCATTCACAGCAGAAGAGGGAGGGGTACGTCTGCAGACTGTATGTGGGACGTTTGAAGGTTTAGGCGTTTTGCCCGTGCAAATGTTAAAAGGTCTGCTTAATTGTTTTCTCTCCATTTCTTCCGTTTTCCCTCTTTTTTTCTTTACCTTCGGCAGTTGCGAGGTGCAACGAAATGAAAGAAGGTTAATGCATTCTTCAGTCATGAAGTTGGTACTTCATAATTCTATTTAAAATGGTGTCAGTTTGTAGTATGTATAGATATATGTAGAAAAATAGCTAATCATTTAAAACTTAAGTGAAGAAAGTTGCACCCATGGTGACACAGTCATCCAATCATGTGCTCCACTTTACTTTGGTTGCGCTATGCCTTAACTTGGATACGCCATCTCCTGTTGCAGATATACCTACTTAGAAGAAGAGGGTAAAGTTTGATCTGCAATGGAAATCTAACAATAACTTCACTGAAAATAACAAAGCCATGTGGAGTCAAATGCAGTGCATGGCTCTTAGTGCCACCTGAAACTGACACCTTTGTCTAATTGCACACAGGAATCTTCCCTTCATCAAAACACTGTGCATCTTCTCAATTTGTTTAGCTGCTAGACAGTGGCTACTTTGTTTTAGAAAATATGTTGTTGGGGTGCAGTGATGCATTCAGCTCACAGGACGATACTGGGTTGATGAGATTCTAGTAGGGCTGCACGATAGTAGAAAAGCAGGATACCGTGATATTATTGTTGAATATTGCAATGATTACTCTGAATGTCACATTTGCCTCACCCTTATCTCATTGTCTTTGAGCTTTAGCATCCTGGTTAATAAGATCTATTTCAGGTGTAGGCATAAAAGACAATGACAAACCATCCAACTGTTCTAATGTATTGTTATTGGAAAGGAGAGTTTAAATGCATGGCACATTAAATGCAGGGTGTCAAACTTTATTACTTTCCGTCACATCTCGAGCTTATTAGAATTACTTGTATTTATTTCACCAGGTGAGGTCACATAACAGTATCTAGGTACTGCTCTGACAGACAGACCTAACTTTGAAGAAAATATTGTGGTTATTTTTTTTTTCCCGTGCTTTGAAATCTCATGACACCCCTTAAATATGTAGTGCTGCATACGGAAAAATAAAATACTTTACCTGGAATTAGTAGAATGATGGTCATCCTGTACCTACTTAGAACATCTGGGTCCAGTGATCCCAGTTTTCCCACTTCAGGTTCAATTTCTAATAAAAATCTCCATATACCCAAAAAAAAACTAAAGTGTAAAATCTAGATCTGCATAAAACACACAAATAGTAGTAAACATATAAAATGCTCATTATAAATGTAATTCTACCTGTAGCCTGTTGTTTCCTGGTTGGTAATTATATTCTGACTGCAGATGGAGCTTTTAAGTTCTGTGGATTTGTGGCATACATTGGAGTTTCAGCTGTGAGGGAGGAGAGCTGATGATGAAAGAAGAGATGAGAGGAAAGGGATAGAGAAAGGCCAAGCAGCAGTCAAAACAGTGAGTGTCTGGGGAAGAGTAGAGGGGAAGTAGATAAAGAGACAATAGCATGTTGGGAGTAAAGACCCGCAGAAGACTCACCTGCACAGAGGCGACAACCATTAACACCACCTTCTCTCATCTGTCTGCCTACCCGTCTGTCTAATATTCTCTCTCTTTGCGTCTCCATCCTCCTTCTCTTTGTTTATATCTTTTACTTACTTTAATATGCAAAACTAAAAATCCTGCCCTGTGCATAACATCATTACTCTGTTATCTCAGTTACCTGCCGCCAGAAAATGTTTTAACCGCTTAATTACATCAACAATACCTATAGCGTAGATTTTGAAAATGGTAAATAGTTGGAGGCTGTGTGTCTCAGTTGGTAGAGCATTTGGACATAGTGTGTAGAGGCTATAGTCTCTATACTCCTTGTGGCTGCCCTGGGTTCAGTTCCCAGTCCCAGCCATGTGCTGCATGTCTTCCCCTTGTCTCTCCATCTTTTTTTCTGTCAGAAGTACTCTTGAATAATGGGCACAAGTGCCAGAAAAGACCATCAAAAATATAGTAAAAAGTATAACTGATAAATTAAGATGATTTCTGTTCTTGTGGCACTAAAAACATTGTTCCCTATATTGCTACCTATATGTTGGTAACCTTTATGGCTCATTGCTCACATTGCTTACTTTCAAAGTAATAAATAATTTAGCAGTGAGTTATTTGGAAAATATTTATTCATGTTTTGAAATGCCCAAGTGTTAAATGGGGTCTCGATATAAAAGAGCATGTTAGTGTTTTAGGAAAACTAGATGACCTGCATATGATGAGAGAGTGTTAAGTTCAGTCATTAGAGACTTGATTTGGACTAGGTACAAAAGACTTGAGACCTATTTTCTCTTTAAATGACTAGCGTGCCTTTATTAGTTTTTTTGTATTTATTTTTTATTTTTTTAACAATATACTTTACAGTTCTGAATTCAGTATTCTTTTTTGCAATAGTACTTATAATTTATGCCTTTACTGTCACTGCTTGGCAGTAATAAGCCCTGCTCAAAGTTGCATTTATAAACCTTACTTTCACGAGTGTTTATAAAATCAGGCCAGGATTAACAACCCCTAGTTTCCATTGCAAAGAGCTTTTACAAATAGGGACTGTTGTTTGCAACAGTGTTTAGAAATACAGAAAGTAAGCTGAGGACGAATCTAAATGATATACAACCGATATCGGCGTATTTGTTTCCAGAGATGTCATTGTGTGGCTCTGTGGGAGCAGCCTGGATTCTTGTTTTAGTTAAAAGGCTAAAATGAACACGGTTGTTCAGTAAAAATAATCATTCTGGAGTAATGTATTTGAAACAGTGACTCATTATTTATACTATAATTCATGGCTTTGTATGTTTGTAAGGTTGCTGAGGTTGTAAGGTTGTACCATTCTTGGACTTGGATTCCAGCCTGTAGTAAAAGCTGTTTAGTTTAGGATTTAGGCAGTAAGAGATTCAGCCACTTGAGATGACTCTAAACAGGAACATCTGGTAAACACTGATCTTCTTAAAGGATATTTTTACCATGTGATGGATGGTTTTAAAGCCCCTGATCTGTTTCAGTCCAGTTGGCATTGATTATTTTAATTGGGACTGAATTGCCAGATCTTAAGCTTGCGTGAATCTTTACTGGAAAGAAAATATCGTCTAACTCTTTTTTTTTTTCCCCCCTTGTTTCTTACCCTGATCTTACTCGTTTTTCCTCTTTGATCCTACATCTCTGTCTCAGGTGTAGTCTGTCTACTGTGGATGCCTTTTATGTCTTTGACTTTAAATCTCTGCTTTTCTTTTCTCTCCTCCCTCCCGAGGAGTCTGCCAGCCTGCCTGGTTGATCAAGGTGAAAGTGGCCCTTTTGTCTGAAGTCGTTTGTTTGGTTTCCTCCTCTTCCCTGGCTGGTATATGGGTTGGGTGATAGCCATGGATTATAGTGGCGTGTTTGGATTAGAGAACCCGGGAAGTGTGTTCAGCCACTTTGTAGAGTGGTGCCGTTTTGAGGGAGTGGTTTGCAGGTACTATTGTTCATGAGTTCAGAGAAACTTTTATTTTTGTCTCCAGGACCCTAACATAAAACTGAAAGAAACTCTGGGGTGCTCTACATCTCTGTGATCTCTCAAACATGAAATAACAACCCTTTTTGTCAAACACATTCCCTCCCTGTTATGTCTGAGAGCAGATTTCTGTTGACCCCTCTGGGACCAGAAACCAGTTGCATCAAACAAATAGGGGTGGCTTGCATTAAGAGCTGAAACGAAAGGGGATTCCCAAATCTTTTGAAAGCTATGGCCTAAAGTCTGTGTTGCCGTGAGGCTACCCCAAAGCCGCGTGAACCAAACTCAAAACATTATGTTCCTGTAAGCAGCGGTGAGCGCTGACGTGTGTTGGATTCGTCTCATGTATTTTGTTTTTTTTAAAAGCAGGTGTGTTTCTGAGCAAGATTTTGGCAGAACTTTTGTTTAGGTTCTCTGCAAAAATCACAGCCTATAGGTTAGTATTTCCCACACCTTCTACAAAGACTGACAGATAGTTCTCGTAAGCAAGGTGTCTGTTTTTTTTGTTTTTTTGGAGTCAAGTCTATTCTTGAAAAACCCTTTACTGATAACTGTGTGTGATTAATAAAAGGAAACCCCCACATCATCACAATCCCCCTGCAACTCCACCCTATCCCCTCCTTTTCATCTGAGTGGCAAATCCAAACCATTTTCCACCCACATTCCTCCACCTCATTTCCGTGTGGCACAGCCCACTCATGAATCTCATGCTTCTTCGCAGAGCCTGCCTTAGTAGCCAGTACAGCTGTGCTTATCGAGCACTATGGCTCAATTCAAAGTCTGCTGGGGGAAGTGCAGGTTTCAGTGGCTGTTTTGATACAGATGATAGTGGGTTATGGTTCATCTGCGGAGGCGTTCGAGATGTGCACCAGACAGGGGAATTCAGAATGGCTCGAAAGCCTGCCTGATGACGCTCTCTATTGTTGACTGAGAGGATCTCTGCTTTAATCTCTTTGCTTTCTAATTCTAGTCACAACAGAATAGCTAAAAAATGATTAGAACATTGGAAAAACGGGTCAAAATACCTTCACAATGTTGTGAACGACTGTGAAACCCTGCTGTAGAAGGGCAGTTTCTTCATCTTATTCTCAAGATGTTCTAAATTCTTAAGTTTAGAGAAATGTACAAAATCTCTAGAAAGAAGTTACTTTTTTGGCAGGTTGTTGTGAAATTGTTGCGGATTTGGATCTTCTATATTAACATTAATTGCTTTTTTTTTCTTGTTCAACCAGGAGTAGCTTAAATCATATCATTGCTCTCCAAATTCGATCAACAAAATTAATTATGGTTTTGCCCCTTACAGTTATCTTCTCTTTTTTGTCGAACTTAATTGTTTCAGATCATTAAACAACTTTCCATATCAGAGAAGAATAACAAGTAAATACAGGAAACAGAAGAGAAGAACGTTATCCAAAATGACCTAACCACATGTGAAAATGTAATGCTAAATCATGTTACCTGTGGTTAACCTCGCTTTTTTTGGATCAGATTTACTAGTTACACTTAGGCCTGTTTACTGTCACACCTGCAGAATGAAGAAACCATCTAAACCAGCCTATCCAACTATGTAAAGTGGTGTAAAAGATCTCAAAGAGCAACACATCATGCCCATATTTAAAAACATCCAATAACAGATAAAAAGCAAAGTCACTGACATCTATCAGTCTGGAAACTGGTGCAAAGCCATTTCTAGGACTTTGTGACGCCAGTGAACCACAGTGGTGAACCTTACCAGGGGTTGTTACCAAAATGACCAGAAACGTCTAAAGCACTGCATGGCTCACTTGCCTCATGTAAGGTCAGGGTTAATGGTTCAACAAAAGGAAAGACAACATGGCCTCCATGGGAGACTCCCACCTAGCAGGTCCACTGCAGGCCAAAAGAAGCACAAAGACCTATTTAATTTTCACCAAAGAAACATCTTCATGATCCCGAGACTTTTGGCAAAATGATCTGCGGATTGATGAGACAAACGTGGGGCTTTTTTTGAAGGTGCGCATTTATTACATCTGCCATAAACCTAGCACAGCATTTTACAAAAACAACTTTACACTGACAGTCTAACATGGTGGTAGTACTGTTAGACTGTCGGTGTAGCTCTGAATAGCTAAAAAAAACTATCACAAACCAAAATGAAGGGTTTTGAGTGGCCTAGTCAAAGTCTGACTTTAAATTTGATTGAGGTGCTATGGAATGATTTTAAACAGGTTGTTTACGCTCGAAAACTCCCCAATAATAACCCCCATACACCCCCCTCACCATCCTCAACAACACAGTGTCGGCCGTGGACCACTTCAGGTTCTTAGGAACCACCATCTCTGAGGACCTGAGATGGTCTTCACACATAGACACTGTTCGAAAGAAGGCCCAGCAGAGACTGTACTTCCTGAGG